CCCTTCAAAGATTATTTCCCTATTTATTTGCACTAAATCATATGAATTACATTCTCATTCATACAACCTCATGTGATTCTTTCCAATTGTTGACTGAGACAATACCAGCCCGGTTCTTACATGTTCTCACAATAAATTTTAACATCTGGATAGGTCAAATCAAGAAGTAAATGAAGTTCATGGATTTAAATCATAACAACTTCTTCCAACATTAAAGATCAATACTCTCCACGACTTTCATTTAACACTTTAATTACTTATCATTTTAAGAGAAAGATAAAGAAAACTACTCAGAATCCATGGAGAAAATAAAACCACACTTTAGTTTAAAAGTAGAAATCATTGTCAAACCAATAAGAAGTCTCGATTAAAACCAAAAGTAGTATAAAAACAAAGATAAAAATTTATCTCAAATCCTCCACCAACTCTTGAAGTTCCTTTGAATCTCTTCTCTTTTACAACACTCTCAAAATAAACTAAAAGATAAAGTAAATTTGGGATAAAGTAAATTTGTGTGGTGCCTGAAAATCTCTTCAAAACTCTCTCCTTTCCAACACTTTTCAGAACTTTCTCGCACTCTCTCCCTGTTCAAGCAGTCACTTCAAATGTAAAAACTTCCTTCTTTTATAAATCCCCAAGAGGTTCCTTGATAACTCTTCAAATTATGTCAAATTTGACGTATTCTCCAAAGGATGCCTCCTTTCACAAGTCTTTTAATAATATTTTCGTCCCTAGTGGTCATAACCACCCTCTTTAGCCAATAGGTGCCTCAAATACCTCTTCAAAATTTGAACAAAAGAAGAAAGCCGCCAAAAAATTATCTCTGGCGCTTAGGCGCGACCTTCTCTGTTTAACCAACGCTCAAGCGTCGGATCTGGCGCTTAGACGCCAAAACACTTTAGCACAATTTTCACATCTTTGCTCCAAATTTGATCCTTTTTCACTCTTTTTAGCACTTTCCACCTTTTTACTTGTACCTGAAAGAAAAACACACAAATACCTTCCATTAAAGTGCTATATCTCAAAAATAGGTATAAAAATGCGTCTAAAACACTATATATTTTAGGTGTATCAGTAATCCTTGTGTGATAGGTCGAGAGTATACGTATAAACAAAATTACATTGCAATACCTTGAAAAGCGGTATATGCGAAGAGAATCTCTATATTAGCCACTCATAGTCAGAGAACCAAAAAGAAAATTTGTTTCTGGGGTTAAGAGCACTTCTAAAGGAATGTATCCCTTTATTTTATTACATCTTAAGGGATACCCAAGAATACTCTTGATAAAAGGGTTTACTTATATTATCATGATAATTGGTGAATAAGTCACTAAATGGATGGTTATTTCAGTCAAGAGCATCTCGCCACTTCCAAAGCCTATATCAAGCCATACGGGAGAGGGAGAATCCCTCGTATCCACAAATGAACGGTGGCAAGCCAAAGAGTGAGGCCTAGAAAATAACATGGTCAATTCAAATTGAACATTCCTGTACTTCAAAGCTCACCGAGCCGTAAGAGCACAAGGTGAATCACCATATCCTAAATGGTCGACTTCTTATCAGCAATTGGGGTCATCAAAATGACATCAATGAAGTCACAAATGATGACCGAGCTCAAAAGGGATCAATAAAGGAGAGGAAGAATCCCTAAAAATGTAGAAGAAGCTGGGTCAAGATACCATGGATCCGTAATTCCAAGCTACAAGGACCATAAGTCTACCTAGTCATGAAGGCAGTCAACCCAAACCAACCAGGGACCCCTATCAACAATCCATGAATTGCACGTCCAAAGGAATCCCAGTAGTCTTAAGGTTAAGAAGGAACCCTAAGTTCTATAATCCTATAAAGGTAGTGCTCAAAGAGGGGACTTATACCTACCAAGTAAATGAAGAAGATGTCATTGAAGTGGAAAGCAAGAGAGAGGTCCAACAACAAAACTAAAAATAATCACACAAAGGACTTATACCCTGTCTAGGTAGGAGTTGCCTCTAGCACCCTAATTGTACTAGAAAACCACATAAGTATAAAACTATGCCGGGTCAATCAGGTTGAAGAAGCACAGGAGTTTCTCATTAGGGCATGCAATACGATTTATTTATCTAAAGTCATAAGCATGAAGGAGCTAATAATATGACTTGTTTGATAACCATGCATGCAACCCATTTTAAAACCGGCTCGAAGGCCATGAAACAA